CCACCTAAATAGACAGGGGACCCGTACTCTAACCATGAGCCTGGCTTGTCCACGACCCCCCCTGTCTACCCCACCGGCCTCATCTGCTCCTACATCCTGATGTGTAGCTGGTCCCTGCTCCTACCAACCCAGCCCTGATTTTTAACAGTAAATCACATATCGGACTTGGACCTTGCCGTACCTCATTCATACCTGTTATTATCAGCAGAGAGCAGACAAACAACCATAAACCAAATAAAAGCAACCCCAATAATCTAAAACAGTTACCAAAAGTCCCACCTTCAGTTAATACAGTCACTCCTTCACCGGTTACTATTAATATGGCTCTTTTAAATGTTCGTTCTCTGCTGAACAAAACGTTTTTAATAAATGACCTGATTTTAGATCGTAATCTTCACCGTCTGCTTTTAACAGAAACATGGCTGAGTTCAGATGCACCTGTAGTTCTCACAGAGGCCTCTCCGTCAGATTTTAATTTAAATTTTTCAACGAGGAGTAGCAAAAGGGGCTTTTCTTAGTTCATCAATACTTTCTGCCAAACCAGTTTTATTTGATCATTTTACCACTTTTGAATATACAGCAGCAGTTTTTAGCTCTCCTCAGATTTTATGTGTCACAGTTTATCGGCCTCCTAAGCAGAGTGCCATTTTTATTCAAGAATTTTCAGAGTTTTTAACAATCCTTCACAACTCCTTTGAAAGGATCATTTTAGCCGGTGATTTTAATCTACATATAGATAATCCATCTGATCCTTTTTCAAAGGAGTTTTTAAATATTCTGAGTTATATGGATTTTAGTCAACATGTCACACAGCCGACTCACAACAGAGGACACACCCTGGACTTGGTCATCACGTATGGCCTGTCCACCAGCGTGTCCTCTGTTAGTGATTTGGCTGTCTCTGATCACTACTGTGTATTTTTTAGCATCACCAGTTTTATCCAGCTGGAACCCTCTGTGAGAACTGTAAGGAAGCGTCATCTCACCCCTGAAGTGGCTGCAGGTTTTCATGAAGTTTTTAGAAAGATCCCTCCCACTCCGGTAACTGCCTCTTGTGATTTTACTGTCACTGATTTTAACAGTAGACTGAAATCCGCTCTCGACCGGCTCGCTCCACTTAAAATCAAAAGTTTTTATTCAAAAAGTGCTTCACCGTGGAGAAATTAAAATCTAAAGAAACTAAAGAGAAACTGCAGGGTTGCAGAGCGGAGATGGAACAACTATAAATCATCAAATATATACAGAGCTACTTAAATCATATAATAACGCAGTGAGAAATTCAAGACACGCATACCTTTCCAAACTCATTCTAGACAATAAACACAATCCCAGAATACTTTTTTCCACCATAAACAACATTTTAAACCGTACCTCCAATTCACTTCAGAAAACACCCTCAAATGCGCTCTGTGAGGAGTTTGCAGCCCACTTCAGAGGGAAGGTAGACACCATCAGACGGAATATTTTATCCTCCATAAGTAATAAGGTTTTAGATAGATCTGGATGTGTGTCTATACCAGAGGAAACACTGGACAGGTTTGTCCAGGTAGAAGCTGAGACTCTTAACAAAGTTTTCTCCTCAGTGAGACCCACCACATGTGTTCTGGACCCAATTCCAACTTCGTTCTTTAAACAATTTTATGGATCTTTTAGTGATGAGACTTTAACCCTGATGAATTGCTCCCTTCAGACGGGGGTCTTTCCTGCTGCCTTTAAAAGGGCGGTGGTGAGGCCCCTGTTGAAGAAGAGCAATTTAGATCTTAATGAATTAAACAATTATCGACCGGTATCCAACTTACCATTTTTAAGCAAAATTTTAGAAAAGTTGGTTTTAAGTCAACTAAATGATTTTATAAACACTAATAATGTCCTAGAGAAGTTTCAGTCTGGTTTTAGGGTGAACCACAGCACCGAGGCAGCCCTTCTGAAGATTTTAAATGATTTTAGAGTAAATTATGACAAACAGAAGTTGACAGTGTTGGTTCTAGTGGATCTAAGTGCTGCCTTCGATACAGTAGACCAAACTGTTCTTTTAACCCGTTTACAACAGATCGGCCTCTCTGGTGCTGTACATAGATGGTTCACATCCTACCTCACAGACAGGACTTTCATGGTGAGTTTGGATACCTACTCTTTTAGGGTCCATGGGATTACATGTGGTGTGCCCCAGGGTTCAATCTTAGGCCCAGTGCTTTTTAATCTTTATATGCTCCCTCTTGGCGGAGTCATCAGGAGACACGGGGTTAACTTTCACAGTTATGCTGATGATACACAGTTGTACATCTCCGTGTCTCCGGATGACTCTCGGTCAATGGATGCACTTTTTAACTGTATTTTAGACATTAAATCCTGGATGGCAGAGAACTTTCTCCAGCTCAACCAGGACAAAACTGAAGTTTTAGTCACCGGTCCTGAGGCCCAGAGAGAGAAGCTTTTACCGAAATTACAATCTCTGTCTTTTAATCCATCTGAACAAGTGAAGAACCTGGGTGTGATTTTTGACTCTGAGCTGACTTTTATCCCACACATTAAAAATATCACAAAAACAGGTTTTTATCATCTAAAGAACATCGCCAGAGTCCGCCCCATTCTCTCTCGGGCCAATACGGAGATGCTGATGCATGCTTTTATCACCAGTAGGATAGATTACTGCAATGCCCTGCTTTCTGCTCTTCCCAAAAAGAGCATCTCAGGCTTACAACTTCGACAAAATTCGGCAGCACGTGTCCTGATAAAGACCAGGAGGCGGGAGCACATTACACCGGTTTTAGAATCATTGCATTGGCTCCTCGTATGTTTCAGGATCCATTTTAAGGTTCTTCTAATGGTTTTTAAGTGTCTTAACGGTCTTGGGCCTTCTTATCTCTCAGAACTGTTTTTACCATATGAACCCTCACGGCCTCTGCGCTCCTCTGGCAGGCGTCTCCTGGTCATCCCTAAAGTCAGGACACATACTCACGGCGAGGCGTCCTTCCAGTGTTATGGCTCTCGCCTCTGGAACGAGCTGCCAGAGGACCTCAGGGCTGCAGAGAACGTTCATGTTTTTAAGTCAAGACTCAAGACCCATCTTTTTAGGTTAGCTTTTATCTAAATATTTACTAGTTTTATTTCTCGTTTTACATGATTATATTTTATTGCTTGCTTTGCATGTTTTATATGATTATATTTTAGCACAGTTTTATTATTTAATATCATTTTACAGTCTATATGATTTTATTTATTACTTACTTTCTAACTTTTGTCCCTTATATTAGCTCTTTTATTATATTTTTACTCATTTTAATCCAGTGTTTCCTCTGTAGGTGCCCTCTGCCCCGGGAGCGGTGGTCGACTGTAGCTTCCTGGGCGCTCTATAGGTGGGGGTCTATGCTCCCCCTCCATTGAGCGCCCTGACTTAGTGTGGAAGACCTGATGCTGCCGGGGCAGACGGCTCCTCTGATGGAGTGTCCTTGCCTTACCTTACTTAGCTCTTCTGGACTCAGCCAAATATATTTTTTACGTGTGTGTGTGTGTGTGCGCGTGCTTGCATATATCTGTTAATGTTTTTAACCTGTTATGGGAATCTGGGGTCATTTTGTAAAGCACTTTGAGTAGCACTTTGCTTGAAAAGCGCTTTATAAATAAATCTGATTGATTGATTGACTGATTGAACTCTGGGATCAGGCCAATATTCCTCGACAGCTCGTTATTTTCCGGTAAGCCAGGTAGCCTCCAAGGCCAGTGAGCAGGAAACCTGACACCAACACCACGAATACCCACACATCTTCAGAGTCCTCCACAGACAGCTGGTCTGTCCCGGAGGGGCATCCAGGAGCCCCTTCTCCAGTTCTCATCGTTGGCAAAATTTTATCAACCGCGTTGAGTGACCAACTGACGAGATCCATTTTAGTAAATTTCCGGTTTCCAGAAAAATGCAGAAGTAGCCGTGCACCCAGCACACACAGACGAAGGCCTTGAGGATAAGATATGGAGGAGAGAAGAAAAGCGTCTACACCCTCCAAGAGCCGGAAGAAGAAACATGTTGTAGGGATCAAAAGAACATCACCAGGCTGGTTTAAATTCTACCTGTCTGATAGATATCATTTTGTTAATGTACATGACAAATCTTCATACTCCAGGGTTACTTTTGGGTGAAGCTCAGGGGTGATAGAGCTTTCTCAGCAGCAGCTCCAAGGTTGTGGAATGCACTCCCAATTCAGATTAGGATGGTTTCGTCACTGTCGGGTTTTAAATCACTTTTAAAGACTCATCTGTTTTCAGTTCCTTTTAATTCAGTTTGAGAATGCATCTGTTTTTAGCTTTTATGTCAAGTGTGATATGTTTGTATCATGTTTTTACTTTGTGATGAACTTTTTATCTTATTTTTAGAATTTTTAGGGAACTTATGTTCTTTTCGGCTTGTTAAGCACTTAACAACAGCATAAAAGCTGACCAAAGTGCTTTATAAATAAAGTTGACTTGACTTGGAGTACCACAGGGCTCAGTGCTTGGACCAATTAGTCTGAAATTTTAGAACATTCATTGTAGATGTAAACAACCTGTAGATTTTAAGAAAATAATTTTTTGAGACCAAAATAATAATTTTATTAAAAGAGTGAAAGTCTCGTCTCCTGCGGGACCTTGGAGGTGCAGCTCCTTGTGAAGATGCAAGATTATTTAGAGGAGGTATACAGGCAGTGAATGTAAGCATGAATTTGTTTTTGGTACAGGGAACAACATCATATTCCTAGCAGAGGAAGTTACTGGACACTTGACTGTTGACCTCTGACATTGCAGTGGACAAAAAACCTCATTGGCCTTTTCCAACGCTACAACAAACAGCATGACAGCTGATCAAAGCGATGAACAAAGACACAAGATGCAGCATAAAAAATATCACGACAGTGAGATACAACTATAAAATCAGTGTTCAAAAGCAACATTATATATATATATATATATATATATATATATATATATTTATATATATATAGTGAAGAAAAAAATAGGGCAACCTAAAAAACTGCATAAACCTCTATTTTTATTTTTTTTTCCACATCAGAACATGGTTATCATACATTGAATATAAAAGGAATGGTTTCACTTGGAGAATCACTACAAAAATAAAACATGCTGTAATTGAAAATGCAACTGTGTACAAAAAAAGTATGAAAAAAGAGAAGTCCATAGTTAGCTCATTTCTACTGTAAGGAGCCAAATGAGGAACTAAATCTCCATGTTGGCCTGGAGACTGCGAGATTCCCTCATAGAAGCTGGCAGTAGCACCCCCGACGAAGGAGGTGTGGTCTGTGGATGGACGATTGCTTCCCCAGCATGACTATCCACCAATCAGAGGAGGATGGGTGGAGTCTTTATTGTGTCTTGAATGATTGTGCTGGAGGTAATAAAACATACAAACATGATTGTTTTACAACTTTACATCTAAATTATTGCCTCACAGCCTCATTTATTTGGAAGATTATATAGTTAAGTTTTAATCCGGACTTATGCAACAAAATGATGAGATTATCCTTGATAATGACTGCAGGTGTGACACGTTATGAATATTAAAGTTAACTTAGGTAAAACGGCCAGTATTTCTATCATACATCATTTAGACGTTTCATGGTGTAAACTCCACTTACAGCACCTCTTGTGAACTGGTGTGCTGAAGTCGTACTGGTGATGCTGACCTCCTCCTGAGGTCATCAGGTCATCTTAAAGGCTCCAAAGCTCTTCACCTTCATTTGGAGGAAACATCTGTGGACAAAGTGTTCACTCTTATCATTCTGCTGTTACAGAGATGAACACATGCATCTAAGATAAGTGATTAGTGCAGCAGATATGATTGTCAGGTTTTAATAAGCTAAACATCAATTCAGATGTGAGATAAATGTACAATTTAGTGTTTTAACATACAAATAATGTACAACTTTATCAGTTGATAAGAGGTTTTAAAAATATACAATAACTCACTATCAGTAAATAGGAGCATATGGGTGATATTAGAGCTTGTTTCCAATTGGGTCTGACTCACACACACAGAAGAACACACTCAGGCTTTTGTTTCTGTCAGCCAGAGAAGCAGGTTTATGTATGAAGCTCCAGCAGCTCGTTCCAGTGTTGCCAACTCAGCGTCTTTGTCGCTGTTCCTAACGACTCTTTGAGCCCCCCTTAACGACTTTTTTTTTCCAAAATGCGCCTAGCGACAAACCTAACGTCTAGGGATGAGCGAGTACACCACTATCTGTATCTGTATCTGTTCAACCAACTAAATTATCTGTATCTGTACTCGGAATGGGCGTGGCATAACCCAGAAATGGGCGTGGTTTAACCGGAAGCGGGTGTGGTTTACATCAACGTATTATTTTAAGTCTGAAAATGATATGGAATGATCGGAAGTTGATATGTGTATTGTTTATTTGAAAACTATTTACAGAGCAGCCTCTGAATTGAGATTAAATATTTTTGATCATAATAGTAAAGAAACTATTACAGAACAAATTGTTCAGTAAAATTAGAACATTAATATTTAAGTGCATGGATTAATGCATCTGAACTCATGCAGTAGGAACTAAGAAATATGAAATGCTAGAACCAGACACACTTTATGAAAATTTTTTATTTTAATTTGATTAAACTGATTTTTTCTTAACGTTCTTGGTATTTTGCCACACAAAGTTAAACAAAACAATGTTGATTAAGGTGTGTGTGTCTGAGAGAGATAGAGGGTGAGAGGGAGAGAGATGGACTTAAAAAAAAAAAAAACCGACCGGAGCGGAGGTAGTGAGTTAATGCAGCACGTCAGCTCTGTCTTGTCAAATGCACCAAGTAAGTTACGGAAAAAGTAACTTTAAATATTCAACCGAAAAAGAGGCGAGCTGAAGGAAACCTGGGGGAAACTGAAGAAACGTGAGCAACAGTGAAGCAATCACAGCGAGATCCGTTACTGTCTGTGTGTGTGCGTGGATGAGCCGGACGTACTGAGCTCCCGGCTGCAGAGTTTTGTGTGTAGGGAGGGGCGGGCGCTCTATGTGACTGGCCAATCACAGAGCGTGAAGACAGTCAGTTACCCAATGAGGTTTTTCCTTCAGCAAGATTACAGATATTTACAAGTTTTACTCGTTCCATGCTCGTATTTGTCAAAAATGCTTTATCCGTACCGGATACTCGTCTGAAACGAGTATCCGGCTCATCCCTACTAGCGACATTTCTCAGGACCCGTTGCTACTTTCTGTAGAACTTTCTTGTAGATATACTTTACAGATTAGCAACAAAGAAACCATTTGCACTCTGAACCGTTCTTCCGGGAGTAAGGAACGAGAACGATAATCTGCACATGTGCATGAGGACTGACCAATCATAAACCGTTTTTGGCCAGGCTGAAGACAAAGGTACAGTTGCAGAGCTGGAGACCGCCGATTTACGCCTGCTGCTGCTGCAGGCTCACGCTTCTACTAGAGATGGCGCAACATTTTCCTTCGGTGACACAGGGATGGTTATACCATGAGACACCCGCTCCCTTTTGCTCGGTGCGCCGTTATTATCACGATGGAGAGAATACACAACAGAGAAGTTGAAAATGTCTGAGAATGAGGAGAGCAGGAGGTCTGAGGTATATCCTACAACAGAACTGTTTGGATCACCACACCGTATCTGTCTTAATGTCACTTTATTGATACTTTTGGAATTTATTTTACGTATCAAAGCAATTTAAGCCATTTTAATCATACTAATTAATAACATTAACACATAAATAGTTTTTGTTATTTTCCTCCCTTTTAGTCCTAAAAAGACCAACATGTTTTTAAAATCTTCAGTATATATACATATATATATATATATATATATATATATATATATATATATATATATATATATATATATATATTAGGGCCATGACTCGATTAAAAAATTTAATCAAATTAATTAGAGGCTTTGTAATTAATTAATCTGAATTAATCGCATTTTTAGAGTGTTTCTGTTTTAACTTAAAACTTCTGTTTTCAACTTCAAGACACGTTGCTTGTGATTGTTTACAGAGTAGACAGAACACGGAGCATTCTCCCAGCGGCAGCCAGGTGCCTCTCTTTTGTCTGACTACTTTCATAAACTACTGTTAGGGCACAGAATTGTTCTGTCTGGTGCTTTCAGCGCTGCACAAATGCTATGTAAATGTTAAAAATATAGCTGACCGCAACTTTTGTAAAGTTTCCGGTGCCACCGGGCAGCTGCAGCAGAGACGAACTCTGAAAAATGTCCGCGACACGGACTCCGTTGTTGTCTGGAAGTTTTTTTTTTCCAAGTTAAGAAAAGAGGCGGACGTGTTTCCTAAATCCTGCATCAGTCCAAGCAAGGCAACTTCTTTCTGTTTTTATTCCGTTTTAGTAGCCAGTAGCACTGTGCATTGTTGTGTGCGTCAGTGATATTCGGTCTACGAGGAAGTCGTGCAGTGACAAAGGTTCCGCCTTGCTCGAAATGCAAGCTGTGATTAAAAGCGTTAATTTTTTTTGCGCGTCATTTTTTTCTAATTAAATTAATCATAATTAACGTGTTAAAGTCCCGGCCCCAATATATATATATTAGACTTTAACGCGTTAATTATGAATATTAATTAGAAAAAAGCGTTAAAAAAAATTCACGCATTTAATTGCAGCTTGCATTTCGAGCAAGGCGTAACCTTTGTCACTGCACAACTTCCTCGTAGACTGATTATCACTGACGCACACAACAATCAGGTTCCATTTGTAATTATAAATTTTAGTTGATTTGGGTCTTGTTTCATATCACACAGTGACATTTGAATACCGTAATTAAAATGCATTTCTTTATTAAAAGCTTTAGTTTACAGTAATAACCATGTCTAATGTTTGATTCTCTGTCTCATAATTTTAATTAAAAGTTTTGCTTTGAGAGCACATTTTCCTGAACGTTTAAAATGCGATTAATTTAGATTAATTAATTACAAAGCCTCTAAATAATTAAGATTACATTTTTTAATCAAGTCCCAGCCCTAGTAGTAATTAAATGTTATTAGCATTCCCAGTACCACTGAACATGTTAATGAAGTACATTAAATTCTACTGATCATAGAGTAACGGTCGATACATTTATATATGTTCTTTTGACTAAAATGAGTGATATTAGTACAAACCTAAAATGTTACTGAATGTAGGTACATTTTTCCATAAAATATCTAACTATAAATATCAAGAAAGGAAAGAGGGAACTATACAACACCAATGTAATACTTATTATAGGGAGCCTAAGTCACGCTCATCTACTTCTGGACCACTAGGGCTACTAAAAACACTAGTTTCTAATTCCGCTTGTTATGTGCCATGGATTTCACATGTGATGTCCGTGAATTTTAAAGATGCATTTTAATACCAAGAACCTGCTTATTTTCGAACAGGGGGAAACGCTATTTTAGGTTTTGTGTGAAAGTAAGTCCAGGACTATAAATGCGCTTCAGGAAAGTGAAGTCAACGAACCAGACATGGAGAACACGGAGGGAAAATGGCTGTAAGTTCAGCAAACTTAAAATCCTTCCTTCAGGAGGAAAAAACCACCGTGAATCTGGTCATGTGGCAAGTAGCAGCTACGCTAGGGGAGAGGAGCTTATGTGGTGACGTCATATATGCAACATGCCGACGTTGGATTTGTAGTCATTCTAATTACAAACTTTTACAAGCTGATAAATCTCAAAGTACGTGACTGGTGCGGTCAAAACACCCATCATTAGTTTTCATTTAAATATAAGTACAATAGATGTGCAATCCACGGCATAAGGCAAAGCGGATTAGAAAATAACCCTTTTAGCCTCGTTGACTTGCTTTCACTTTTTCATTCTTCTGAGAACCCATGAGCCGACCAGAAAGAGAGGAGACTTAGGCTCCCTATGGAACCTTTTATAACAAGTCTGACATTTCAGCCTCATCATTCTGTAGTTTTATTTCATATATTTAGCAGCAGACCATGGTCTTGTTGCACTTGAAACATGTCAAATGGAATATTCCACTAATCAGCAGATTCAATAATATTCAAATACTAAAATAGCTGCAGTCCTATTTTATACCTTTAACAGAAAAACAAACAAGAAGTCACAAAAACACAACCTGCACCAAACCCAGAAGGTTGATAAGTACAACACGGTGGTGTTGTACTCGAACACGTTCATCTAACGATCAATCGTTAACTTGTTGTTTTTGTGAACGTAACCCAAACTCGCACGTATTTAGTTTACTGATGAATAATAAAGTGAGCTCTCGTCCTGGCGTGTGAACGGGTTTATGAACGGTACTCTAGTCTGAGAGCTCCAGATCTCCACGGAGCTAAAGCCTTAGCTAAACATCCTGTTAACCATACAGTTTATTAAAGTAGAACACCAAACGCGACTATCTTACACAGGAGTGATCGGCGTGGTGTCTACTCTTCTACGTCTACGCCGTTGAAGACGGACCTCTGTAATGAACACATCTACATTCAATTGAATGAAAGAAAATGTTCTTTTTGAAATGACACCGACAAGAATGTCTGAAGATATTTCAGAATCAGCTTTATTGTCAAGTATGTGAGTTAGACTCACGCTACCAGGAATCTGCTCTGGTGGATGTTACTGTGTTTTATTATATTCACTACTGGTGTGTGTCCGTGTCTAAGTGATTTTAAGAACTACTTTTGGTTTTAGGAGACTGTAACACAAGTTTTTATGCTGGTGCTACAACACCTACGACCTCGTAGCTCCAGTGCTATAAGCTACAGATGCCAACGTACAGCCCTGTCACTGATAAACGTGATACAAAGACAGCATTTACCTTAGCAGTAACTAGAATTTGGCAACAGGTAGACAATTCAATAAAATACTGGCGATTATAAATCCTGTTTGTTGTGTCCACAGTAGTGATTTACTGATCATTTTCATTTTAAGGAGCTATTATTTATTTACGGTAATAAAACGCTAATTTATGAAAACAAACAACAAAATTTACAAATATATGGTGTTTAATGTCAGCCAATAGTTATGTAATAAAATAAACCAACATTGTACACAGGTAGCATAATTTGTAGTGTTTCCCATCTTACCACCACCCAAAAACCTCTCCTTACCCACAACAGGACAGGAAAAGCTGTGGTGTTGAGCGGCGCCGAGCCGCACAGCGGAGCCTCAGTCCCGGGGCGGCGGGCCGCGAAGGCCGCTGACAGCGGGGCTGATACCGGGGCGCTTAGAGGTTATAAATACTGAGTATTTGAACACTCTTCACATGTCAGCAGACATTCTGTAAAAAAAATAAACACAAAACGTAAACACACACTCACCAAAAAGTAAAAAATGCAAACTAATTGCTGCTAGCATTGACGCTAGTTAGTTTTTAGCTTCATGAGTAACACAATGCCGTCTGCTGTTTTGTTTGGCCAAACAACAAAATACTAGTTCTTACCTGTCTAGGAGAACTCTGCATGCCTCCTGAAGTTGATCTGGTCCAAACATAGTTTCCATAGTTTAGCTTTGTTTTAGTTCTCCTGTTGTTCTTCAGTCATTGGGCAGGATGGAGGCTTCTATTACAATAGAATCCTTCTGTACCGCTTTGTGTGCTGGCTTCAGTTCTCAACTAACCCGGAGGAAAAAGGCTCCTTGTGGCTGGAGATAGCTGCTGGTGGAGAGTGGAGGCCAATAACGAAAGGAAACAGCGGTGGTGTTGAGAGATTAGGCAACCAGGACGTAACACGCCAGGCTCAAATATGATTGGCTCTGTGACCAGGAAGAATATGTGGGCGCTGTTAACAGAAAGGCCGTCACGACCCGGCCATTTTTGAAAACAGGATACCTGGCATTCCTCCAGCCAGCTAAAAGGAGATCTTGTTCTTGTCTGCAATGTGATGGACACATGGGACGGTTTTGTGATTGTTTTACTGTCAAACGACATAGTTCACCTTAAATAAGTAACTATAGGAGACTATTTGCAGACTAGAGCAAGTGGTGCTCGCTGCCGAACCATAAAGGCGGAGCTGCACCAGAGTCAGCCCCGCCCATTCCATCAGAGTCAGTCCAATTCCTTCCAGTTGTCAGACTTGATAGTAGGGCTGCAACAAACGATTATTTGGATAATCGATGAATCGGATGGGGTCTCGACACGATTAATCGATTAATCGGATTACATGGGGAAATTTTTAAAAACTGCTAGGGAAACGTTATTTCTCTCCTTCCTTCACTTTATTTAACACAACATTATTAGAAAACAGTTCAATAGCAGAAAAACAACATGCCATCACCTAAATTGTCTTATAAGGTGTACAGACAGAGACCCTAAGCTACATCTATCTGTGACCTAAAATGCTTGGTCCAAGTTAAACAGCTTAAGGGCAATTCTCATCTGTTTTGTTTGATCTCATCTGTTGACATTTATTTTAACTGTAATTAAACATAGGCTGTGAATTAATCAAAATTGATCACCATTTCCAAAAATGACTGAAAAAATACCAAATAAAACAAAAGTAAATGAATGCCATCCTCCTTGCGATGATGCCCTGGGCAACTGCCATAAAGTCACATCAAGAAATGCTGCTGATCATTCCAATGATCCCAAATAGACTCACATTAGGCCACATGAAAGCAACTGAACCCAAAAATATATTAACCAGTATATAACTGCACTCTCACACAACATGCCTGCAGCAACAGTTAGGACTCCTCCCTCCCTTTTAAAAGCGTTTTTGCTTCTGAGGACATTGTGGTTGTAAAACCACATGCTAGTAGTCTGGCCCCGGTGTGATCAACCAGTTTCTGCGGGAATGTGACGGCGGAACCAGGGCCAGATTAACACTTTGTTGTACCCTGGGCAACAATATTCAAGGGCTCCATCATCACGACCCAAGGATCACCATAATGTGGTCACATACAGAATATTTTACTGTAATATGCAGTAAATATACTCAATACTTGAATGCCTGACAACACGTAACCCGCCCAGAGTAACCTTTGACCCACCTCGTGTGTACTGACCAATGAGGAGAGGGTCTTAACTTGAGGCCCTCTCTTCATTGGTTAGTCTGCATGAGACTGACTCTCAACTGACGTTCAGTCATAGGCACCGAAGCGTCTCTGTGCAGCGCAAAAGCCCGGGTGGACAGTTTGTTTAATGTAGGGTGACCATATTTCCATTTCCAAACAAGAGGACAGGGGATCTGTGCCTATGACGTCACACTATGGCAACACCACACAAACCACGCTGGGCCCCATTGTTTTGTAAGAAGTAAATTAATATCAGATTCTGCCAATAAAAGGGCTCTAAAACAATTCATATGTAAATATTTTGCATATTTAATGCAAAATCTCATTTTTCTGCTTTAGTGCTGCAACAAGGTTTTATTAATAATAAATTACTATACCTTTTGTTTTACTACAGCATCGGTACGCTTCCTGTGCACAGATTATTAAGGATGCTTGTTTCAGCTGTGAGATTGGACGATAGGATCAATGATAAAATAAGTTGTCCCACACTCCATGGAAACTTTCAGAGAATCCACAAATAGTGGCTTTCAGATGGTTTTGTTACTTTTTGCAAGTTTAGAAAAGCAGCATTTTGCCTTGGCCCCCAAAATGTCTTGAAACGGCCCTGGGTGTGTGACTGAGTTTTGAAGGTGATCTGAATTGTATCAGATGTATAAATATAACATGTGTATAACTTATTGTTTTTTACTGGTAAAAACGTGTCGTGGAGATAAATCTACCTACATTTTACTTTGTTTTCTTGTTTTTATTTAACTATTTTCCTGTCCTGTCTGTCTCTCATCTTCCTGCATCTCCTCATAATTCTCCAGAAAATCTGTTGCCTGGATTCTTACCTTTTCACCTCATCAGTTACTTCTGAGCAGATCAAAGGGATCTCCTGACCGAAAAGCGCAGAGCGCGTTTTCGATGCTGCGTGAGGTGACATCACCACAGCACAGGTGATGAGCTCCGCAGTAGCAGAGCGCTTCAGGCACAAATAAGACAGAAAATAGAGAACATGTGCGGACATGAACGATCGTGTGTTAATTATAGTTTTTTGGTTGCACCACTTTGAGAATGGACCGTGTGCTGGAAGCAGCTGCCTGGATCGCTGCGCAACAATGCAGAACCGGTTCGCAGCAGCGCAAGTCTGCAGGCTCTCCCTCACGCTGATCTGACTTGCTCTGCTCTGCGCGCAACGGCGGGCGGGAAGGGGGGGCGCTTTTGGAAGAGTTGTGCGACACAACGAATCGATGACGCAATTCGTTGCCAACGCTTTTAGTAATCGATTTTCATCGAATTTATCGATTCGTTGTTGCAGCCCTACTTGATAGCATTCTGGGACCAAAGAGGGTGTTATAGCTAATATCATCTATGTTTATGTATTTAGCAGACGCTTTTGTCCAAAGCGACTTACAAGGGATAATCGGCATGTTGCCCTTGAGGCTAACAACAACAATAACAACAACTTGACATCAATCATGGAGAGATCTAAAATGCAAGATTGAGGACGGAGTTGAGAAGTTAATAGAACAGTTTTTGTAAAGGTTCCATTATTAAAATTCTAACTTTTGGAACTTTTATCATGTTAAATTGTCATTTCCTCATAAGAAACACGCCAAAGCCATTTTTGGCCTCATTCATGCATTTTCCTCCCATCTCAGCTTCTATTTGGTCTCTTCCCCCTGAAGCGGGTCTGGTCTTGGTTCTCAAATCTGGATATTCTGTGAATTTTCTGACAAATTATTTCTGAAATGACTTCTACTGAGACACCGCCGTAAAACCATACATCCCATCTACAAAGACACTCTGGATGGCACAATTACATGTAAGGCCACTTCCATTTTATCAGACGTAGCGGTGAAGTGTTTATGGAGTCAGGTTGGCATGCAGTTTTGGGCAGGTTCGCCTCCCAGTAGCGGCAGATTAACAGTAGTTTATAACCCTTTTTCTTCTTTTCTAGCTACACTTGCCAGTTCTATGTTTACAACCATTTACTGGTATACCGTTTAAAATATAATGACTAATGTGTTTATTTATTTATTTGTTTATTTAGCCAGTGTGAGTCCACGTGTGAGCAGAGTTTCAACTAAAATGCTGTTTAGGAACGACCAAATTGAAAGAACTTTTAGAGACATAAATATTTTGCAGAAAATAAACATTACAACTAAAATATGAACAAATTAAATGTTTCAGCTGGCTAAATAGAACGTTACAGACCCCACCGAGACTCGAACCGGCATCAGCTGAGGGGAAAGCAAATCTTAACTCAGACGATCTCGCCACTGCACTACCAGAACCCGCACACAATAGCCTTACATGCTGTTGTAGGCGGGTTTTGTTGGAGCGGCTGTGGGCGGATATTTGCTAAAAGAAACCTTTTCATTTGGGGATATATTCAGGCTTTGTCATGTAGCAAGTTATATTCATCTCGTTTAATTGAAGCATAGAACATAGCATTAACGACTGTAAACTAGTAACAGCCGTAATTCATGTGGGTCAGGTTAGCTTGCGCTAAAGTTGAAAAACAAAAACAGAAGAAGTCAGTGGGCGGGGCTGAGTTTGCGTGAATGGGCGGGGCTGACTCTGGTGCAGCTCCGCCTTTGTAGTTCTGCAGCGAGCACCCTCTCGACCAGAGTGGGATGTACTGACTGATGGACACGGAGGAAGGGGTGGGAAGGTAGATCATGATAGTACGACATAAACAGGACAATTGCTGTTGAATGCTTGATGTGTTGATATATTGTTAAAACTACCTATGAAAATGGTAAACGGCCTGTATTTGATATAGCGCCTCCTAGAGTCCTGGAACCCCGCAAGGCACTTTACAACACAATCATTCACCCATTCACACACACAATAACACACTGGTGGGGATGAGCTACGATGTAGCCACAGCTTCCCTGGGGCGCACTGACAAAAGGCGAGGCTGCCGAGCACTGGCGCCACCGGTCCCTCTGACCACCACCAGCAGGTCAGGGGGGGTTAAGTGTCTGGCCCAAGAGCACAACGACAGCGACAGACTGAGCAGGGCTTGAACCTGCAACCTTTCGATTGACAGGGCAAGCATTTAACTCCTGTGCCACCGCCACCTCATTAAAAACATTAATGACAAAAAACTTGCTTTGAGATGGTTCGTGTTTTGAAATGGCGTTATATTAAATGAAACTAAATGAATCCAGTCACTAAGGGGTTACACAAATACCGTATTTTCTGGACTATAAGTCACACCTTTTTTTCATAGTCTGGCTGGTCCTGCGACTTATATACCAAAGTGACTTAAATACCAAATTATGTATACTGCGCTGCTGCGGGCCGGCTCCGGACCAGGTTTCAGCTCCTCTGCCCCGCTAGGAGGCTTTCAAACACCGCCATAGCCTGCTGCAGCCTGTGGCGGGGTGCTACGGGCGCTCTCCCCGCCCGCTGGGAGGGTTTGAAACACCGCCATCCTCTGCTGGAGACATCCACTGTTGCGCCCTGGTTGTTTATTCTGTTATTGTTACCGGTACTTAACTTGCAATGTGAAATGCTTGGTCTCAGATTTTGTAAGAAAAATAATAAAATTTCCCCCAAAATGCGACTTAATAGTCCAGTGCGACTAATATATGTTTTTTTCTTACTCATTATATACATTTTATGGCTGGTGCGACTTATAATCCGGAGAGACTTATACTCCGGAATAGGGCTGCAACAACGAATCGATAAATTCGATGAAAATCGATTACTAAAAGCGTTGGCAACGAATTGCGTCATCGATTCGTTGTGTCGCACAACTCTTCCAAAAGCGCCCCCCCCCTCCCCCCCTTCCCGCCCGCCGTTGCGCGCAGACCAGAGCAAGTCAGATCAGCGTGAGGGAGAGCCGGCAGATCAGCGTGAGGGAGAGCCGGCAGACTTGCGCTGCTGCGAACCGGTTCCGCATTGTTGCGCAGCGATCCAGGCAGCTGCTTCCAGCGCACGGTCCATTCTCAAAGTGGCGCAACCAAAAAACTATAATTAGCACACGATCGTTCATGTCCGCACATTTTCTCTATTTTCTGTCTTATTTGTGCCTGAAGCTCGCTACTGCGGAGCTCATCACCTGTGCTGTGGTGATGTTACCTCACGCAGCATCGAAAACGCGCTCTGCGCTTTTCGGTCAGGAGATCCCTTTGATCTGCTCAAAAGTAACTGATGAGGTGAAAAGGTAAGAATCCAGGCAACAGATTTTCTGGAGAATTATGAGGAGATGCAGGAAGATGAGAGACAGACAGGACAGGAAAATAGTTAAATAAAAACAAGAAAACAAAACAAAGTGTTGAAAAGTCAAATGTAGGTAGATTTATCTCCACTACACGTTTTTACCAGTAAAAAACAATAAGTTATACACACATCATATTTATACATCTGATACAATTCAGATCACCTTCAAAACTCAGTCACACACCCAGGGCCGTTTCAAGACATTTTGGGGGCCATGGCAAAATGCCCCCCCCCCCCCCCCCCCCCCCATAACTGGGCTCCCCAGAAGCCTCTGTGTAATCCATACCCTCTCCAGTAGTGTTAGTTATACAGTGTTTATAAAAGCCCCTCAGACATTACTGACATGTTCTAATATTTTCAGATGAAAAACTAAATTATCAGACACGCTGTCTCATCTGCTGCTTTTATAAACTTGCAAAAAGTAACAAAACTATTTGAAAGCCACTATTTGTGGATTCTCTGAAAGTTTCCATGGAGTGTGTGACAACTTATTTTTTCATTGATCCTATCGTCTAATCTCACAGCTGAAACAAGCATCCTTAATAATCTGTGCACAGGAAGCGTACCGATGCTGTAGTAAAACAAAAGGTATAATAATTTATTATTAATAAAACCTTGTTGCAGCACTAAAGCAGAAAAATTAGATTTTGCATTAAATATGCAAAATATTTACATATGAATAGTTTTAGAGCCCTTTAATTGGCAGAATCTGATATTAATTTAGTTCTTACAAATAAATGGGTCCCAACATGGTTTGTGTGGCGTTGCCATAGTGTGACGTCATAGGCACAGATCCCCTGTCCTCTTGTTTGGAAATGGAAATATGGTCACCCTATATTTAACAAACTGTCCACCCGGGCTTTTGCGCTGCACAGAGACGCTTCGCTGCCTACGACTGAATGTCAGTTGAGAGTCAGTCTCATGCAGACTGACCAATGAAGAGAGGGCCTCAAGTTAAGACCCTCTCCTCATTGGTCAGTCCACACGAGGTGGGTCAAAGGCTACTCTGGGCGGGTTACGTGTTGTCAGGCATTCAAGTATTGAGTATATTTACTGCATATTACAGTAAAATATTCTATATGTGACCACATTATGGTGATCCTTGGGTCGTGATGATGGAGCCCTTGAATATTGTTGCCCAGGGTACAACAAAGTGTTAATCTGGCCCTGGTTCCGCCGTCACATTCCCGCAGAAACTGGTTGATCACACCGGGGCCAGACTACTAGCGTGTGGTTTTACAACCACAATGTCCTCAGAAGCAAAAACGCTTTTAAAAGGGAAGGAGGAGTCCTAACTGTTGCTGCAGGCGTGTTGTGTGAGAGTGCAGTTATATACTGGTTAATATATTTTTGGGTTCCGTTGCTTTCATGTGGCCTAATGTGAGTCTATTTGGGATCATTGGAATGATCAGCAGCATTTCTTGATGTGACTTTATGGCAGTTGCCCAGGGCATCATCGCAAGGAGAATGGCATTCATTTACTTTTGTTTTATTTGGTATTTTTTCAGTCAGTTTTGGAAATAGTGATCAATTTTGATTAATTCACAGCCTTTGTTTAATTACAGTTAAAATAAATGTCAACAGATGAGATCAAACAAAACAGATGAGAATTGCCCTTAAGCTGTTTAACTTGGACCAAGCATTTTAGGTCACAGATAGATGTAGCTTAGGGTCTCTGTCTATACACCTTATAAGACAATTTAGGTGATGGCATGTTGTTTTTCTGCTATTGAACTGTTTTCTAATAATGTTGTGTTAAATAAAGTGAAGGAAGGAGAGAAATAACGTTTCCCTAGCAGTTTTTAAAAATTTCCCCATGTAATCCGATTAATCGATTAATCGTGTCGAGACCCCATCCGATTAATCGATTATCCAAATAATCGTTTGTTGCAGCCCTACTCCGGAAAATACGGTAGTCATTTCTTTTAAAGTGTTGGCAGCTGATCACTGGTACCTTAAGCTGGTTGGCAGAATGACCCAGCTTGATCTTCAGGAGGAATCCATCTTCTCCTTCCTGAAGCTGAGCTTTCCTCAGCAGCTCAGCCACCAGGCTGTCAAGCAGCTGTTTGGCCTTGGCTTCCTCTCCGGGGTTGTCCAAATCAACCGAGTCCCTGAAAAAGAAAACAGGCTGAATGTTTGATCACTGAAGGAGGATTAGGCAATAAGACTTTGTACTTCGAGAGTAAAAAAAAATAATTTCGATGGTCAAAGGGCGTTTATTTGTTTATTTTTACTGTGCTGGTTACAGTGCCAGGGCTTGATGTAGTGATTTTCGTTAACTAAAGCACTGGTTTCTGGTTTCAGATCGGTGCTTAAGCTAGCAATAGCTCATTTCTGGGCCAGAAATGGTGTTTGCCAAGAACTGCTTTCTCCCATTTAAGAGCAAATTTTCTGTAAATACAGGTTGAAACTAGGGGTGCACCGAAAACAAAATTCTCAGTCGAAAACCGAAAATTAGGAAACGAAAGCCTAAAGCCGAAACAGTGAAATAAACGATTATGTCAATAATTAGAATCATAGCGTTTATGGCTACGATGAGCGCCAGCCTCACTAAAATCAAGGCATTGCAATAAGTCAATTACAAAACCATGAATATATATTTAGCACTGACGACAATGCACAATATAAATTAAAACTCAAAATAAGGTGTTTCCCTTGACCACACTTGTGCAAATGCAATAATAATAAATTATAAGTGAATAAAATAATTCCTCGATAACGAGGTTAATTAAAGAAGACAACTCCATTCCAGAGCCACGGTTGCAAATATCACCCGTCATGAAGTTATGACTTTACACCAGAAGATAGTGGAGAAGTGTGACTTCAATCTGAGCAACACTTTTGGGTGTTTCTATGGAAATTTTCAGAGTTTACAAAGTTTGAAAAGCGCCCCGTCAGGAAACTCCCGACAGAGAAGAGGAGGCGAGAAGGCGAGGAGCAGAGCACACAGAGGGTAATATTATTATATATTAGCTGCAGCTGCTGCAACAGTCTGTGTGCTTCACGAGAGTAGACACGCTTCCAGAGCTTGTTTTACCATGTTCTCCGTGACATGGTGGGTGTAGGACACAGCTAATAGTGACAGACACGTAGAAGACAAAAAGCCGGGCAGACACGGTAGATGTGTTTTGGTATTTTAGGCATTTCGGCCAAAAACCAAATATACACTTTTGGGTTATTTTCAGCCGAAAACTTTTGGTAGCTAAATTTGTTGAATTCCTAGTTGAAACATATCTGTATGGACCCCATGCAGCCCCAGGCTGGAGGACAAGAAGCCAGCACATCCCCGTTGTGTTTATCTATTGGTTGTCAATGAAGAGCTAAATAGCGACAAAATAACACCCATCAGCATGGTTAACATTAGGGCTGGGTAAAAAAATTGACTTCATTGATTTAGGATTGATTTCATTTAAATTTTGTAAAATCGATTAATTAGGCCTAAGATCGGTTTTTCCCCTTGAACCAGAGTTGCCCACCAGCTCATTTTGCTACAAAGACTAGAAATCCCATGGTGCTTTGTGGCGTCAACGTGTCAGTCGAAGCGCCCTCCCTTTCGGTTTACAGTCATTTGCATCTGTGCCAATAGTATCGGCGTCTGCAGCGTTACCCTCCTCAGTCTGGGACGATCTGAAAACACTAATTTTCCTCGGCGCCCAGTTTACTCGGCGCCAGATTTACTCTGCGCCAACTTTATTCGGTGCTTTGTCAACTTAGAAGCCCAGAAATGGATTCCAACAGTTCCGTAACCTGTTTGGTGGTCACAGCGGACATAGAAAGCACACCAGCCACCAGACGGATTTCAATTCCAGTGAAGTAACACGCTCAAGTCAGAGTTCGTGGCTGTTGCTGTTTCTATCTGTCCTGCTCGACACATGGGCCCAGCTCAAGCTGCTCAAATGCTCTCCATGTTCAGCAGCACAAACCTGTGAGAGCAACTGTTGTCTGATGAAGATGAACAAAAACACCACAGGAGTCTCACTGATGAACGCCTCCCTCAGCTCCGACAGAGAGAGGTGCAGGTCTCTGCCTTGAACAGGTGAGCAAACGGAGCTTGGATTATTGTGTTTTTATGCACTTTTCTTGCTCCAACGCATGCGAACTCTGTGAACTGCTGTAAGATATTATTGTCAGTTGTGTTTGCCTTATCATGTTTATTACCTTCTTTGTTCTTATTTAGCTGATTTTTGTATTACACTTTGTATGGCATGATTCTTTGGACAAGTTAACAGGATTGAGATTACAATCCGCAATAGACAAATAATTGCAGCACCTCATGCTGTGTTCTCACTTCATCGTGTTGATTCTGAAACTTTTATATCTGATCGTAGTGTTTATCACTTGACTTATTTTTCTTGTTTTGATGCTTATCATTTTTTGTCTTGAGTATGATCACCTTTCCTGGGTTTACCCGTTCCCTATTCTTTAAGTCGTGATAGTAGATGGTGACATGTTATGGAAGTGGATAAAATTCCTTATTTGGTTCTGTTTTGTTTTGTTGCTTCCCTTTGTTTTGATTATCCTATTCGGATAAACAGGAGGGAATGTTATGGAAAAATTGATGTTTATTAATTCTTGAACATGGACTCAATTAACTGAATGTAAATGTACTGCTCTATGCCTCTTTGCATGCTCACTTATTCAGACACACACACACACACACACACACACACACACTCTTGACTTCCCACACACAGACACAATCTCTATATAAATAAACTCTGAACAGATTTTCAGAGCATTTTGACTTGTGCAATGTGCCACAGTTATAACTGTTTGACTGGTCTGATCATTGTCTCCTTCTCTCTCCAACTACAGGAAATGGGTTATTGATAAACATATTGATAAAATCCATGAAAGTGTGTGTCATTAATATTGTCCACATGCATAATGAAGTTGCCCAGGATGATTATATTTTGAGACTGGGAAGAAAAGTAAGAATAGTAACTAGAACAGTTTTTGTCCAAGAGTGTGGAGCTTATTAATTTGTGGCTTATTTAGTATTAGTTGGCTCAGTGTTGCCTCTTTGTTAGATAGCTACAGCAGGCTGCTGTAGGGTTGTGTATAATGACTGTAATTCCACTTTCAACCAGTAGGGTAGAGAAGCAGGAAAAAGTTTAGTGTCACTTTAACAATATTGTAACATGAATATTTTGTAGAGAAAAAAACAAACCAAATTAATGAGGTGGTTTTCTCGCATTTGTCTGAAAAACTCAGCTAATAACACTCTGAAACCAAGGAGGTCAGTCTCACCAAACCGCTGCACTTCCCCAGGTTTTCCACTCGTTATACACACTCATACATTCATCAGCAGAACACCACTGGTATGAGAGGTTCTCTGCTCAGTAATATCAGAGAAGGTGCAAGTTCATATGTTGTGTTGCTCACTCACTCTCACACTCACTCATTCACACACTCACACACACCTTAATCAACATTGTTTTGTTTAACTGTGTGGGGGAAAATGCCAACAACGTTAGGAAAAAATCAGTTTAATCAAATTAAAATAAAATTTTTTTAAAAAGTTGTGTCTGGTTCTAGTATTTCATATGTCCTAGTACCTACTGCATGAGTTCAGATGTATTAATCCATGCACTTAAACATTAATGTTCTGATTTTATTGAAAAATTTGTTCTGTAATAGTTCCTTTACTATTGTGATCAAACATATTTAATCTCAATTCTGAGGCTGCTCTGTAAATAGTTTTCGAATAAACAATACACATAGCAACTTCTGATCAATCCATATTAATTTCAGATTTAAAATAATGTATAGAGCTCCGGACATCACGTGACTCTCAGAGAGTAGACGCCATGTTGGCAGGCAACAAATGTAAACAAAATGAACGGGAACGGCTTGGATTTTACTTCGTCTGAGTTTACTTCACACTTTAAAACCGAAGAAATCGTTTTATATAGTCAGAAATTAAATAGACTAAACATCTCCGACCCTTACCGTGCCCCTGGGATACTTTTTAAGAACACCAGAAGCTGTCGGAGCGGACTTCTTACCGGACCTGGCCGGGGAACCCCTTGGGATTCCCCGGAGGAGCTGGCCCAAGTGGCTGGGGAGAGGGAAGTCTGGGCCTCTCGATGCTACTGCCCCCGCAACCCGACTCCAGATAAGCGGATGAAAATGGATGGATGGATGGACAAATAACAGATTTACATGTAAGTAGTATAAATAGAGTGCTGTGCTGTTTGAATGTATAAACTGAACGCCAAGAGAAATCACTAGTCTGATTTTTTTTCCGTGAATAGAATAAACATGTCAGGCAGGAGCGTCTCAGGATCTGTCTGAGATCTGTCTCGGTGAGACAGATAATAGCAATCCAAAGTGTTTTTTATGTGTGATCTGACAATTGATCAACCATTGCTTAAAATTAAATACAGCTTAGCCGGTTAATTGCTGTGATCATAAAACACGTAAACGGCAGCACGCAGAACTCACGAGGCAACGTTTTACGTGATGTTTACTTGTTGCTATGAGTAATAAGACAGAAAAAGCCACGCCAAAATAAGTTTAGGAAGCCCACTAAGAATCGTAATAAAAGCATTTAAAATAAACACCATACACAGTTGAGGAAACGTTGGTTTAACTACCTGATATGAAGCGGTCGCTGCATAAGCAAAAACATTTACTCTCGGGATCCCACAGCTTCATTTTAGCCCGGTCACTAGCTCATTTTATTACAATGATCCAACGTTTGCGGCATTCCGGATCTTGGGGAATCCTGTAGATGGATCATTCCTTATGTCATCCGCGTCTGTTCTGCATCCTGGGGCACAACAGGAATCTACCATATTTCCCGTTGGATTGAGTTTTCTGACAATAACAAATAGTCCAGCTGCATGCTTCTGCCTGCCAATATGGCGCCGTTTCGATTTGAACTGTTGCATGCTGGGAGATGTGACGTCAATTTCCGGAGCTCTATTGATGTAAACCACACCCACTAATTTCCAAATAATAAATAAGAGGTGCATTCATCTGCGTATCTCCTTTGATCCACATTAGCGATATTTTCAGCATCAGAAAAATGAAGCAAAGAAACAGATTCCTGCATTTGTTAGTAATTGTATTTATTAGGTGCATCTGACCTGTTCTATTTTTCTCT